CGCATCTAGTTCTGGAATTGCCCGTTGAATGAGCGCTTAACTGTAAAGTGGGCCAGCTGCCGCCCAAAGACAAGCGCGTCCAAACACTTTTTCTGTGGAGGTTGGACCTATCAAGCGGTTCCAACGATCAGACTTTAAAGTTGTTTTAGTGTCCATTGAATTACAGGTGGAGCGGCGAAATCGTCGTACAGCTGTACGTCGATGCGACATGTCCATGTCAGAATGCACAAGTCCGTCGTCCGCATCGTCAAGTCGTGATCCAAGCGAAGCCATGAGTGAGTGTTTAGCACCTCGAGTGGAGTATTGGTATGGACGCATAATGGTCGCATTACAGCCTCAAGCCGTTCCTCATTTTCTGGAATTGATCGGGTTCCGAAGACGAACCGTCGGTACCTCTTCCACTTCACTACTGCCAGCTACAAAACCGATACTGAAAAAGAGAAAACGCCGTGTGTCCGAGGACGAAACCGGAGGATTGTATGCAAATATAGGTATTTCTTAATTTCTTGAGCATCCTCATGTTTTCTATCTCATTCATGTTCTCCTTGTGTTGGGAAGTATCCGAAGAATATTTAAAGGCAAACTCCGGGATTGAACTGGTGCTAGAGCGCTTTGTAGTGATAGCTTAGCTGCGGAACGACCTGAAAGTGGAAAGGAAAGCAAGAGAAATCTTGGGAACGCTGAAATTAAGGCCTTAACCTTCAATAAGGTCGGATGTGGTACGATGGCGAGAAAGGGCGGTCAAAGAAGACAAAATACGCGAGAGAGCACGTCGTTTGAGAGAGCACGCTGATCTCTACATCAATGCACGCTGATCTCACCACCTCTCGCGGTGGGTGGGAAGCGTTGGAACGGGGGTCGATGGTTGCAGGCCCGTAAGGATTAGCGCCCTAACCGCGCAATTTTGCGACGAAGCTGGAGTGATCTAGGTAGGTACGGACCTTACAATTTCCCTCGGTATCCTTCCTACTAGTCGGGCTAATTCCGGGTTTGCCTTTAATGATGCACTTCCTTCTGCTAAACACCTTTTGGTTTGAATCTTCAAAGTTCTAACTTGCAGATAATTCGAACACTCGACCGCGACAAGCCGCTAAGGTGAGTTTGTTTCCAAGTTTTTCACGGTGTATTTCTTTGAAGTGGTGCTGTTGTACTGTTTGAACTGGAACCGCAACTTTTTAGCCTCCTCGTCCTGTTTCGTACTATCCAGTTGAGGATAGCGATGATTCGGATAACTTGCGAACGAAACGAAAAGCGACCTCCTTTCTGAATGTCCACAACAAATTCGATAACACAGGTGAAGCAAAACGCTTATGAACTGAGCATTACTGTAACCTGAATTATTTCAGCTGCGAAATTCAACAAGAAAGGTTTTTCAGAGAATCTTCTACGTGTAGAGCGGGAAACCAAACTGAGACATGACAAGGAGAATCTTGAAGCAGAAAATCGAACCAGAGCTGAGGTGACTGTAAAGAGCCTCTTCGATTTAGTTTACTCCTAAGTTGTAGTACTTCTACTCAGCGATGCCAAATAGCCAGGGCATCGCCAGTAGCCCAACTTTAATAAGTACCATAATTTCGCGATATTTGCCAAAAAGCAATTCGTCGCATTTTCTTCCGCGTCAAGAATGGCTCATAAAGTAAGGTACCAAGGGAGCTTCCTTGTAGTAGTAAAGAAGGTCTGGAAATACTTATTACTGAGGAAACGTACGGCGTCCATCTGCATAACCATTAGGAATGGTGCAGGACCTCAGTACCAGCGCGATGGGCGTGGCCGATCACCATCGGGCTGCTATGGTTTCTCGCGCCACAAGGAGGACCATACAAGGTCCGCTAGGAGCAATATGACTTGCTCCCAATTTGCGCATGTGATGCCGCACCAGCTGATGTATTCCCCTTCTTTCCACTAGGTAAGTTTTCTCTATTTTGACTTTCAACCCCGTAGTGGAATCCTCCTTTGGATTTCGCAACTACGAAACGGTGATCACGTTTGATACTTCATCATGGTAGCTCTCCCTGATGAGAGGTTCTTTATCTCCATTATCATTAAAATTGAAGTGCCTCTCCAGTTTGCGTTTGTGTGGAGCGTTCTGCGAATTCACGCGCTGTTTTGAGCTACACTTCCGAATGTAGCGTGGCATAGAGCTGAATGTACTGCCACCCTTCCTGTACTAGGAATGTATAGAGAGATTTTGTTATCAAATCTCCTCCCCCTAAAAAATAAAATTGAACGGGCCATATTAATGCCTATTCAGTCAACAATGGGCACTCCTACATGGCTATACAAAGGATCAATTAACAGGCATCCAAATCGTTGTTTTGGTTGTTGTTAAGACGCTTGAATGGCTAACTCTGACCGCTTCCTATCCATGACATGTTACAGGGGAGCAACTGAATCTACAAAAGAATAATGAACCCCTAAAAGTATGAATCTCTGAGGCTAAAATATTTGAGGAAATTATTTATTCCCATGTCCCTTTCAGATGCGCAATCAACGGCTTGTCGAGCAGCTGAGAGAGAAAAGTGCTCAGTTCAGCAAACTTCAATTTCATGCTCATAAACTCGACGAACAGGTGAGAGCCCATAAAATGGCATTTTTTTGCTGATTGCTCAAAGAGCGTATTTGCAGATTGAGTCTCTCTCACAACGATGCGCTCTTAATGCCGCTCTGGACAAGCTGACGCTTGAGGAGCGATTTGTAAGAGGATCTTTGATGGCTATGGAAAAGGGACCAATATTCTAATCATATTCTGAAAATGTTTGTTCTTTGTTTCATTAACTTGAGATTTCTCAAGGACTCGGTCCTAGTATGAAAATTACATGAAAAGGAATAGAAGCAGTTCCTCGAGACGCTAAGTTTCCTATAAGGGACAGCTGTACATAATGAGCTAGTACTGTAATACTTCCACTAACAACCCCTCCAGATTCCCTGTAGTGGCGATCTGTGCAGGAACTGTCGCCTCCATGAACTCTAACCCTTACATTATATCCTTTTATCAGCAACTTATGGAGTCAGCGCCTACGAGGGTGATATGAGCGCACTGGGTGTTCCATGAACTCGTTCGCAGTTTGGGACCATTGATTTCGGGTTGTTATTATTTGTTTATAACGTTATGCTCAAGGTTATCGACGAGTTCAAGGGAAACCAAACATCAAAATCTCAATAACATTTTTTTTTTTTTTTTTTTGCTTTTTTTGGTCTTTCTTTTTTTCTTTCACTTGGCCTCCAAACTACACAGTTACTCCACAACTACAGTTTACGGAAAAATCTTACTTTAGATTGAAGATCGTCTGCGACAATTTCAACGTCAAGTACAAAGTGCTAAACTGGACGTCGCAAACGCGCAGCAGAAGGTTCGTTCCTAAACCTATTCGTTAACGTACCTTACTCAGATAAAATCCGCAAGAGATTGCAAAGTTTGCAAATGTCAGACCGTGACGGTAAATGGAACAAGAAGGGTAGATCATAATTTGCACAGTATTTTCAAGGTCTGGTAGGAAAGGAGGGACAGAAGAGAAAATAATTGGAAGTTGAAATATTTATTTCCTATGTGTGTCAATTTCAGACAATGAACAATATTGCGCATGAACGTAGCGCTCATCAGGCTTGTCTGGATCGCCTTGAGGATCTGCAACGAGAGAACTTTGCTCTAATGCAAAGTAGATACTTGGGTGAGTATCGGATTGTTAGGAAAATGGTGAAAGCATTGCTTTGTTTGTTTTCTCCGTGATCCATTGTCCTGAAATGAAAAGAAGTTGGTGATTAGTGATAGGTAAGAAAATCTCTGCCGCTTCCATTGCGGGAGCCTTACAGCGATCCTCACGTAGTACGTGGCTGAAGACAGACATCAGTTCTACCGTCAATAGATCAAATAGCTTTCAGCAATAGTGAGAGGTAGTACTTTCCCATTGGCTTTCCCTCTGTAACTGCCCAGTATTCTCTCCTATGATTCCTGCATAACAGTGTAGCCTTTTATAAGGAACTTATGGGCAACGTGATCCGACTCCTTCCCCTCACACAAAGAAAGACAAGAATAACCAGCGGAGGGGAGGAGGTCGAATAGGAGGCTTTGAAGAACAGTGGTCTGCAACACTGCACACGGCGCTGCGGTTACGGACACCAACACAGTAGGTCCGCCAATTGCGCGGAGGTCCACCAATTGTCATTCAGGGATGATCCACTGCATCCGCCTTGTGTGAGCATCGTTGCCGTCTGTTTCATCAGTAACAAAGAATTGTGGCGGCGTGCGTGGCAGCGTTAGGAGAATCAAGCTAAGTTCCAATGGCAGCACTAGGAGAACTAAGCTGAAGCGTTCGTCACCAGCATTTGTGCCAATGTTCGGCGAGAATTGAACCGTAGCGGTCCTTCCAGTTTTTTGGAGTTGTTTACCAAAACAAATGCACTTCCTTCATTTTTGCGTTCTAATCGTGAAGGATGGGACTCAGTCCAGAAATTTATGGGTGAGATAGAACCATTATTTCTGGGAAGGATTCCTTCAGAAACAGTGATGGCTGGATGACGGTGGTTTTGGTTAAGTCATTCAGCGTGATGGGTCGGAAAGGTAATACCAACCGCACCCTTCGCTAAGGGACTTGAGCACCGATGACGGCCATTGTCAAACCACACCGCTCTGCAAGCGTGATGATTACTGCCTTTCGAGGCGAAATATCATTGGAAGCCTGAACCCCAACCTCTAACGATAAGTGACATACACTACACTTAGCTATTTATTATGGCTGCCAGTAAATTCGTCCTCGGAAATTTAGCTTCCTATCTGTGAGATTTCTTATCACGACCACCATATGGCAGCTGGCACAGCTCACGAACACAAAAGAATTGCTTATTCATCCCAATCTCCACTCCTCCAGTTACTATCCTTTAGAATCCGGTTGTGATGACAGTGTTTGGCAACGAAAAATCGATGCATTGCCGGCATATGAAGCTCTGTACAGCTTTGCACAACATGCCGTTCGTAAGTACTCCGATCTTCGGTGGATGTTATTGGAAAGAGAGCGAGAAGCGAGTCGGGCCGAGCTTGACCTCATCGCTGCACAATCGTCAATCGTCATTGCTTGTCACACATGCTCAGGTGGAGATCGTTTTTTTCGGGCGAAGACCCACTTTTTATGTTCAAGTTATCTTTTTTGAAAATCCTCTTCAGAATGAACGATTCCGAATCAAGCTCGGAGAAAAGCGACGACCCAAGCGACCGGCCTCATTTCATGGAGAAGATTTGTTGAACAGAGTGGTACGATATTTTTCTTCGTGTCTCACTGTTTTGTGATCCATGCTTCGGATCATTCTGTCAGATCCATGTCAGACCACTTCAGAGCATCGATTATTTCTATTCCAGGTGAAAGAGACATGAACTTCTTCCTTCCGTTCAAGATGCAAGGCTCTCGGAGTGGAAAAATTCTAGGACGAATCCTAACAAGAAATCGCTGTTTTAGTTATTACGGATAACGAAAAGGACCTTGAAAGCGAATTCTTCGCCGTATTTGGTGCAGGACACGAGTAAGTCGTAAGCCTTTGAGACGTTTGAACATTCGAATACACTGCGACGCATAATTATAGTTCCACCTACAAATTTCCCAAAAACTTGAATCTGGGGATGTTTTTGGAAAAGGCTCTACAGATAAATTGTGACACATATAAACGCGAATCTGAATATTAACACGGAAATCCAGTTTGAGAAAGCAACAATTTTTTATCCTTATTTTTTCGAAAATATCCGCTTTAGCTTCTCCGCTGCATTTTGCTTTTACCCAATCAAAATTTGGAATTATTATCCATTCAAGTTCCTTAGCTTATAGCAAAGGCAAAACCGCTGTCACACTTCCGTAAAAGGGAAATCCTAGCAAAAGAGACGCAGGAATTGTCAAAGTGTCAGCTCCGCTGGAATTTGTCGGGGTGACTTCATAACGAACAAATTTCTCAAGGATGCTACAGGATATGACTGGGAGGAACCCTGATTACTATCCGACTGAGATAAGCGCCGTATCGTGAGAAAATGATATCCAGCCGGGTACTGAAATTGTAGGTGGAACTATAATTATGCGTCGCAGTGTAGGTCGAACTGCGGGAACTTTCAG